TCGAATAATCTTGTAGCTTAAAAAAATATAGTTTTAACTCAAATTAACTCGAGTCAAGATTATGTTTTTTAAGCTATAAGATGACTCGAGTCTAGTTCTCTACATCATTCATATAATCTTAATATATGATTAGTTTATTGTCATGTGATTTTAAAGGGCATGCCCATAGGGCATGCCTCAACTCGAGGGCATGCCCCTATGGGCATGCCCAAATTTTTAGTCATGCCCTAAACCCTACATTTATAGCAAAAATTACGAAAGTGAAGCTTATTAAAATTTTATATTTAGAAAAAATGGCCACTGAAGTTCCTGATAATTTTGAAACCAAGTTTCAAGTCGCCCTCAATCCAAGTATACATACAATAAATATTAAGTGGAGCGATACGTTCGAAATGGTTAAAAGTAAAATTGAGAATCAATTAAATACCCCGTTAGTCATATTGCTAATATTCAAAATTTACAACCAGGAGAGAGATTTTCTAGAAATTTTACTCCTGAAGAATTTGAAAGGACAATCTTTATTATAATTTTATAGAAATTTTTTTTTTATTCACATTATGTAACAGTGATATATATATTTTTTTATTTGTATATTATTATTCCGGCAATATAATTTTTTATAATAAAGGGAGGGGGCCTGCTGGGCTCTCATTTTTTATTTTTATGCGATTTTTTATTGCGGAATAATGGTTCTTTGAACCTACAATATAATTTGCGATTATTAATTAGTAGAGACTGTTAAGTTTATTAATCTTTGCTATTGGATTCTGGCCTTGAGTTTGGCATTCTCGACAGCACGCCTTGTTTTTTCTTCCTTGGTCATTTTTAGAGCCTCAGCAATCCCACACATAAGTTCAGCTCTCTCACCATCAAACTCTGAGATCTTTCTTCTAAGATCAGAGATCTCAGTATTCTCCTTTCTAAGCTCTGCATTCTCAGCCTCAAGTTCAGTGATACGCTGTTTCAATAATTCAAGCTTGGATGACATGATCTATATAACTAATACACTGTATATAAGCATTCAAAATAAAAAAAATATCACGTTTTTTTTTCCTCACGGCCTGTAAGCGAAATTTGCCAAGAAAAATTTTTTATTAATACATACGAAAAATAAATACAAATGTTCGGGACCTAGCCCGTGATACATGATGTCTATACTATTGTTTGTGGACTAATGTCTGGGTAAAAAATTTCATGCTCTATCACTTTACCAAAAAAATTCTCGATCATATTTACATCGATAATAATACAATAAAATAAATTCATGAAATACACGTGCAAAGTAAACTGATTATGTATGCGAAATCGGCCACCAGGGCTAGCTTTATTGATATAAAAAATAAAAACAAAATACAGAATAAAAAAATAAAAACAAATTACATTTCTACTCATTTACGGAGTAAAAACTGTTGAACTATCTTCATCACTATCATTAATTTCAGAATTAAATAGCAAAGACAGGTCAACAATCAAAATTCTCTGTAATTTTAAAAGTCAGATAATTATTTTCAAAATAATGTGACGTAGAATATAAATAAATAAATACATACTCGTAGCAACAATAAAGCTTCTATAAAGTCAAATATAACTTTTCTATTATTTGTACATTGTATCAGAATGATCACTGATCTTAAGAGAAAAAGACGGCTTATATTATTATCATTACTAATAAGGACGTATAGATTGAATTTCTGTCCTGCAACCTGAAATCCGAGAATGCCGAACTCATTTTTTTCTTCTAATTTACATCCTCTATTTGTCCAATATAAGCCATCATTAAGCTTTCGCCACAATTTTACTCTATCTTCATCTTCTTTGGTGTCGTTACAAACAATATGTGAACATTCACTAAACACTAGTTCATAGATTCTATCCATATATTTCACTATGAACATAATGTCTAGATGCTTTCCTCTCTCTCCCCTTCTGTCCTTGCTAGCCAAACTTTGCCGTTCCGCTCTGCAATAAATAAAAAATTAATAAAAAACTGTTCTTAGAAAAAAATAAACAGTTTACTTACGTGCTAATTAAAGTTGCAGACATTTCTTAACTCAAAAGTAACTACCTTTGACATAGACGTAATAAGTAACATATGCTGTAAAGGTGCCGTATGCCATTTTAGATAGCTGTCCTACAAAATTTTTTCCACCCCTTGTAATAACGACTAATCAAATTTCAGGATCAGGTGTAATGTGATAGTCAAAACAAACGTGTTTTGTTTTCTAAGTAAAAAGTTATACACAAAATTAAAGTTAAGAAAACCGTGTTAAAGTTAAGGTTAGGACTAAAATAATGTAACGCCTACAAGTAAAATTTTACAAGAAACATTTTTCGTTAGACCACAGAAGGCAGTTTCCTAATTAAAATTTAGAGCTATTTTTGTTTTTTTTGCTTCATCTCGATTTTCACATTACACCTGATCCTGAAATTCGATTGGTTGTTATTACAAGGGGTGGAAAAAATTTTGTGAGACAGCTAGTGACATAGGCAGAAGTTTGTCTGATTGGTTAATTTTTATAGATCTACCTGTGATTTCCTGTGATTATTAACCAATCAAATTATATAATTTTTTTAAAAAATTTATCGTTTATTACTACAGAAAACGAAAAAAAGCCATAAAGAATTCATAAAGAAGTTACAAACTAATAAATACATGTAAAAGAATTTATCACATACACTTAAAGAATAGATAGGTATACGTATAGTGAGACAAATGTGAGATTTATTATTAATAAACACAAATCATTAAAGAAATACAATACACGATATAAACCAAAAATTTACAGTAAACAATCCCAAACATACTAAAAGAACAAACATTAAACCCAGAGATTTTATTACTAATAAACTTGTACGTACCTATTCAAATTAAACAAAGTATATTTAATATAATATATTAAAGTTCTTAAGCGAAAAAATTTCTAGTTACTTTCACTTTATAATTTTGCAAGATCCAATAGATGGTGATATATTTTATTATATTTTACCTTCTAAGAAAGGTCGTCAGAAGTGGATCTTTTTTTGCATAGCGAATATTAACAAGTGCTCGAAGGTTATAAATAGCTTTGTAGATTTTTATTAGTGCTGTAGCGAGACATTCTGTTTTAAAAAAATTACTTTAAAACCGCCTTCAAGTCTTTTTTCTT